GGAACTGGTGTTAGCAATATTGGATCTGTATTGCAACAAAATGGGTGGTCCACAGCTGAAGAAAGAAGCAGAATTAGCTAAAAGCCAACTGGAAGAGTATGTTGAGACAAAGAAGAAGGAAAGAAAGGAGGGGATATTGTAGGAGATCGACATGAGCAAATGTGGCTAAGAAAATGATAAACCAGGCAGTTAAAAAGTCATTTCCTACTCTCTATCTTGGATTTTTGCCAGGTTATGCACATATACAATCTATAATTTGTGGAAACGATTTCTTATGATAAATTGTCTGGTTTCTATTTACATAACCTTCACGGGTTTGCAATTGGTACTTGCAATCTGTTCTAGCTGTAAATAAATAGTATGAAACTGAAGTTTTAGCCTGTACTGTTCGCCCTATGTGGTTTTTATCCTTTGCGCTTATCGCTAGCTGATCTTAAACTTTGTCATTGTCCATGTTCAGTTCAATCTCTCTGTGCATCTGTGTTCAATTATCCAAGTCTCCTTTGCTATGCTGCTTATCCGTACGTTAGGTCGCTTTATGCATTTGGACCGTCATCTACCATATTTCCTTCGCGGACAAGTGGTTACGGGTTTTGGACGAGGTGGTAAACAGTTGGGATGTCCTACGGGTGAGGATCAAGAGGATTTGTTTCTTTTTCCTGAAATAAGGAAAGATGTGATTTTAGCAAATATTGAAGAAGCTGTAGTCGAATCTTTGCCATCGGAGTTTCCTTGTGGAGTGTTTTATGGCTTAGCACGAGTTGAGGGAGAGCAGGTATGCTAGTTGGTTGGCTTCTTGTACAAGAAGTGTTACAGTATGCTATATATAAGTACAAAACCCGATAGTTCTGTACCCAATGAGCAAAAATCTCCTGGAACAAGTGCGTTTTGGTAATTATTCGGTCAAAATGGAATGTATTCTTTCACCATTAGCTGCGAAGAGGGAGGGGCTTTTCACCGCAGCCGGCAGTAATTGTGATGCATCTGCACATTTACAAAATATGTTTTGGATAGCTTAAATATAAAGAAAAATACCATCCTGAGTTAACTACGGCAAAATGCAT